TGGCCATTTCTCATCAGTGACACTAGAAGATTTTCTTTTCTTTTCTTTTCTTTTCTTTCATTATCATTATATTATATTTTTGCTACCAGAGTTTGTGCTTCTTTGTGTTCTTATTTATTTACTTGGTCAATGTATGCTTCAAAACTACAGTTGACCTTTGCATGGTCATTTTCATCTCAATGCCCCATATATTTGATTAGGATTTTATAGCACAAACATTTTAAGATTATGTGACCCAACAGCATGCTTTTCCCTTGCAAAAACTCATTACAAGACGTGATTACCCATTTTATGCATACAGATTTATTTTTTGCCATTACTCATGGTTAATATCTGTTTGAATAACCTCTTGCAATCACATTTCTCCCTTGCAATGATGGGATTTAGATTCACTTCTAGATAAATTTTTAATCCTAAATGACACAATCAAAATCACTACTCGATTTTTGCACAACAGTGCAACATTTCAGTGCATTCAGTGCAAAAATCCAGAAAATTTCCACACACTACACCTATCATGTAGCAAGATATAATTAGAAAACTTTCAGTATAATAGAAAGATCTCTTTTTATAGGAATTATTACTATTAATAAGTCTGTATTAAAATAACATCATTTATACTAAAGTCAACCATTTTTAATTACCCATTTGCCGCTCCACAACATACCTTAACAATTAAGATGTATTTTATAAATGATAATATTACATTTAAAAAGACAGTTAAATGCTTTTGCTGTTTCTGGTTGGAATTGCAAAATATGCAAGTTTAGAAGGATTTTGCACAGCCTTTCACTGTGTTAGGTCTCTATATAAAAACATTATTTATATCTATTGCTTGCAGATCAAAAGGGGAAGACAAAGTGGTAAAGTAACAGTGGGGGATGGTGAGAAAGCCAACATTAATTCCCATTTTGCATCTATCTTCTGTCAGTAGAGAAATGGATCCTAGCTGGTCATTATTATGTCACTGAGGGAATGAGGTAACTGCGGTTTAGGATACGTAAGGAGAGTGTAACTTTGCTAATTTAAATCAGATCAGATTCCACAAAGGCCACAAAACCTCAGATAAGTAGATTTATTGAGGAGTAGCTATGAAGCTATTACTAAAGAATTCCAGTGATTTGCTTTGTAGCAAATCCAGGCCCTATTTATATTGAAATCAAGGTTCAAAATTATTGCATCTCTTTCTCCCATGCAAGTGATGTAAGAGATTAGCTGGTTTAGTGGTTACAGTCTTGGCACAGTAGCAGAAATGACAAGAAGATGCATAGATTTTGACATCTGCTTGGTATGAGACCACCAAAAGTCCTAAAGCAGGTGGATAGTCTTAAATTCTCCATAATGTCTGGCTGACTTACTATCATAGTAGAGCTTCAGTACTTTTCTCAGGGAAGGGAGAATATATAACTAGCCATAGGAATGCAATTCTCCCCATTCCTAGAAAAGGGAGAAGATAAATCAGGAGAGATCCCTGAAGGTAATCTGTCTGAATACTTACCTAAAACATAAATGTTTTGCTGTTGCTCTTTGCAAATTCATTCAGTGAAGTTAGGGGTGTTTTCCAGCTTCCAGTCTCACCAACTGAAGCTGGTGGTGAAAGAGGGGGGAATATTCCAACTGCAACACAGAAAAGGAAAGCAGATCACAGGGAAGAAAATATTGAGGCTTGCATAAAGGATCATATGCAACTAAGGGTATAGATCATGTGAAAATTAAAATGGGGAAAAATTGTGCCCACTTGAATTGATGTGTGACTTTCTGTGAAGTCTGTAGATGTTTCAGCTTCTTGTGGTCTGTTCAAACCACAACAGAGTATAAGGCCTTTCCAAGAGGAAGGCCAAGAGTTCCTTGTAAAAAATGTCAGAGTTTCCTTTAGTGGGCAGTAGCTGTCTAGAATAAAAGGCG